TTAAAAATTTTAATCAGATTAATCGTGATGATGGATTAATCCGCGTTAACCCGTTAATTTTGACAGCCCTAGTAAAAATATGTTAAAAATTAGTTTTTGGGACACCTGTGGAAAAACTGGCCACAGGGAGTTTTGTGAGAAGTTCAACATTCTGATAATGCCCCAAAAGATATGAGAACTTGCATGTTCAAACTCAACAAGGCAGGACGTGGTCAATGGTTTAAACCTCCCACCCAGCAGGGGGCACTCACAGAAATCTCACCTCTTTGGCTCTCTGGACAGCATCACTCGGGGGATTTCTGATTTGTGGGGAGGACTTGGTGTTGATCTTGTCATACAGCTGCAACACAAGAAGTGAATTTTTAGAACTGTTACAAGTGCCGGGTATCGTGATGAGACAAGCGCATAACTGTGCAACACTGGGTGATCGGGGGCCCACACCCAAGTCACAGTGCGACACTGGGCGATCGGGGGCCCACACCCAAGTCACAAGGGGCAGTGTCATCATCGTGTGGATGATAGTATTTCTGGAAATCCAAGGAAATCCAAGGGTGCACCCCTCCCCCCACTGCCTCCATCTTTTGCGCTTCTTCTGTACTCACACACAGTTGTTTTGCTTTTGGTCACAAAGGGCTAAAATCCTCAGTGTTTAACACTGTGGCCAGTCAATATCTCAGTCAAAGGCAACTCCATCCAGGGAGGCAAACTCCAAAGTACACGGATCAATACCACGCTGCCTAGTCGTCTCCACAAGGCTTTGTGTGCTAACTGTTATTGAGTTACCGGTGGCGGCGATCTTTATCTGTTGTGTTTTTACCATTGGAAATAATTAACAACAAGAACCTTCATTGCTTTGGTGTAAAAGTTAGTTTGATGAACAACAATGATATTTGTCTACATGTTTTATACCTCAAACAGATACTTTTGTGATGTAAATAGGATCAGTGTTGCTAAAGAAAATTAAACAGAAGCGAGAGTTAGGATGGGTTGCCTCACAGGCTGGGTTGCCTCACAGGCTGGGGACTGTGAAGATGTGTGGCTTCAGTAAGATGATGTGCAGTCGCTACTGAAGGCCACTCATCCCTGTGGGGCCCAGGTCAGGGGGGCTGACCTGAGGAAGCTGCTTAACTGCCATCAGCCACTGCTGCTGCTGGGACCTACACTCCGCCCCCGTGTCCCATATGTGGCTGCAGCAGCAGTAGCAAGTTTCCGTTATCTTCTTTCAGCTCTTCCCACTTACCTCATTTGTGTGGCAGAGATGATTCTGCTGATTAGAGCCAATGTATTCTCTGAATAGAACTTCAGAGCAAAGCATCTAGCAGTCTACTGGTGCCCAAAGTCAGAAATAATGCTTTAAGCTGCTACACCCAACTGGGTAAATATATCTGCCCACATCTTCCACAAAGGCTTGTGCATTTTCCAGCACTTGCTGCAATGCTAGGCATGTTGAATCAAACACACTCTGCTAAAACTGCTGTCTGGAACTATAAAGAAATAAGGTAGGTAAGGTCTGAGAACCAGGCCGCGGGGACGCTGATGCACCAGCCTCCATCAATAACCAGGCGTCTCTCTTGCACCTTCTGCACCCTTCTGGTGTGGCAGGTCACCTGCATCTGCAAGTCTGGCTCTGCCTCCCAGCCAAGGACTCCCTACCGCCACCCGCAGGCTGACCCGCACGCCCCACACGTCTTTGTGGGGACCCACTGACTCACGTTCTAGCACACTTCCTCTCTGGCATTAATTGAGGGAGAAAAAAAGAGAAAAACAAATACGGAAAGGCGTATTGTTCCACGTGTGCCTCCGTGTGACAGCTGTTTATCTGTCGCTGTCCCTGCAAGGACGGCTTGATCTCAGAGGAGTGTTTTCCAGCCCGCAGATGATTCCCGTCGGTGGAGGCATAAGAGGATCAGGCTAAATTACACACCAGCCAGCTATTTTTTAGCACATCTTTGTTTTTTAAAAAATTCACACACTAAAAAGTGCTACTAAACTCCGTTCTTTTTACAGCCTCCCTGCCCAGATTAAAATATGATGCATTATCTGCCTGACTTACATGTAAAGCTTTTTATAAATATGTAAATGCAAATGTGACAGCATATCCACGGTGAAGTATGTGTGTATTTTCATACTTGGCTGAAATTTATCTGTTGGGACTGGGAACTGTAAAGGGGAGCAAAGTTAGGACGATTCCAAGGGCCCCAGAGTGACAGGGGCCCTAAAAAATTGGAATATAATTGGATTGGTCTGGGATGGGGCCCAAAATCTCTAATGACACCCCTGAGTAGGTATTGCGAGTACTGTGAATAGAGTATGTAACAGAGTACCTTACTCTCCACACTAACTACCAGGTCCAGATCTCACTATGCAGGGATGCAAACCCCTGCTGTCTGTGATCAGGCTGCCAAACGTAAACACAGATAGCGAGGAATTTAACCAGTGTAATTCAGACATATTGGACTGAAATTCCAATCAGTGTTCATTTCACAGCTCTGCAGGAAAAACACGTCACATTTTATACTATGCGACATTTCGTTTTTTATTATTCTGTGCGATTATTTTCGTTTTTGGTTCCTCTCCTCCATTGCCATCTGGCTTTCTTTCTTTCTTTATTTCTTTCTTTGCTATAAAAATTCATATGGATTGAATATATGCTGCGCAGAGCCGCTCTGCACACTCACATCCAGCAGGGTGTGGAGGTGCTCGTCCTGGAAGACGCTGTGCAGGAAGTCCAGGTCCTTCTCGCTGCAGTCGGTCAGGGCATGAATCTCCTCCAGGCTGTCCAGCACCTGAGACACAGCCCCTGTGCTCGGACACAGAGAAGTGCCGCACTCTCAGACGACATCCCCCCAGCTCCCCAAGCCGGCCTGCCGCTCCCCACGCCGGCCTGCCGCTCCCCAAGCCGGCCTTGCGCTCCCCAAGCCGGCCTGCCGCTCCCCGTGGCCTCATTAAGGGACCACCATAAGGAAACATAACCATTGTGGGACTCCCCTCGTAATGTGGACTAAGATGTACTGGGGCACTTCTGTGGCCTCTCTGGAGAACAACCTGGATCAGAACAACCCAGAACAGACCCACTTCAGGCAGTGTGAAAGAAGTTGGTGTGTGGCTCAGCAGATTAAGGGTCCTGTGCCTTTAATCAGAAGGTTGCTGGTTCAAATCCCTGAGCTGGTACAGCAATTTGACCATTGGGCCCCTGAGAAAAGCCCCTAACCTCCTGACTGCCCTAGGCACTGACTGGGCCTGCCTTTACAACTCTATGTCACGTCAGGTAAAAGCATCTACTAAAAAAATTGAAAATGTAGCACAGAGTTGAACTTTCCTGAGTCATGGGAAAAGCCCAGGGAAGTGCACTGTCATGCAGGCTTTATCAAGAGCTTGCTGCTCCCACCTCAACTTGGAATGTAAACACAGGATCTGTGCACGGTTCTGACCCACAGTTTGATCTGCAGATAGCCACGGGCCGCCTCTCCTTAACGTTAACTGTCAACTAGGAGAGGGATCGGCCCTGGGAAAGGCAGAGCATGTCCACGAGGGCGTGTGGCTGCGAGAGCGAGGCAGGCAGATGGAACATGCGGCATGCGGGCTGGCGATGGGGGCAGGGAGTGACCGGAACATGTGAAGACTGCCCTCTGGATACGCCAGCTGGTGGGGGGGGCAGGGAGTGACCGGAACATGTGAAGACTGCCCTCTGGATACGCCAGCTGGTGGGGGGGGCAGGGAGTGACCGGAACATGTGAAGATACGCCAGCTGGTGGGGGGGGGCCCACAGTGTCGTCACCACTGGGATGGCTTGTGGCAAACAGCTCTGTCCTCATATCACATGTATTTAGGGAGCCCTGGGTTATACTATGGAAGGCCTGCATGTTGGCAGGGTGACAGCAACCAAATGTCCCCACAATGTGATTCAAAGCCTGTAATTTTGACATTGTGGGGACCATTTGTGTGTGTGTGTGTGTGTGTGTGTGTGTGTGCGTGCGTGCGTGCCACCCCCTCCATGGCGTCCCCGGCCTTGTGTCTGGGAAAGGCCCTACAATGACTGGCCACTATACTGGTTTTATGGTTAATTGTTGGGACAGAGACTATGCAGCGGCCACGGTCAGTGGGAGGCAGGGGTGTGGGGAGGTTGCGACTAAAGCAGTTGGTGGAGGATGGGGGAGACAGGTGGGAGGGGTTGAACGACATGGGGGCCCAAATAAAGTAATTTTGTCCCAGCCGGGAATTATAGACAGCAGGTCAGGCTACGTACGAGCCGTAATGGAAGATGATAGATGCATGAGCATGAGGCCCAGTCCGCAGCCAGGTCCGAATCGGACAGGACCGAATCAGACAGGTCCAAATTAGCTAGGCCCAAATCAGACAGGTCTGAATCAGACAGGCCCGAATTAGCTAGGCCCAAAATAGGCAGGCCTGAATCAGACAGGCCTGAATCAGACAGGCCCGAATCAGATGGGTCTGAATCAGATGGGTCCGAATCAAGACGGGCCCGAAACAGTCAGGCCCGAATCAGACAGGCCCGAATCAGACAGGCCTGAATTAGCTAGGCCCAAAATAGACAGGCCCGAATCAGACAGGCCCGAATCAGACGTGTCCAAATCAGACGGGTCCGAATCAGACAGGGACACTTCCTGAGCTCACTGGGGCAGTACAAAGATGTTTTACTGAGGCGGACAGGCGGGTCAGGGGTGTTTCGGCAGCGAGGTCCACACAGTGCAAGTGAAATCCCAGCATTCAACAAATCACGGGAGTGGGGGGGTTACCTACTTTCTGCGGCTAGCAGTCCTGAACCGAGGCAGCAGGAGAACAAACAACAGACATTAACATACGGAAAGTGGT